TGAAACAGATTTAATCAAACTTCATCGTGAAGCCGGTCTCTCCTTGAGAAATACTACGCGATTGTGGTTGGGACTGTGAACTGCTTCCATATGTCAAATGTGCATCGTTGTAAAAAATCGTTCTTTCATTGCCAAATTGAGCAGTAAGAGTTCGATATTGTGCTTGGTATTTTGCCATTAGCATTGAATGCTGGCACCTTTGAAAACAAATAATGAAGATCTGAGAAATAATAGGTACATTCTATCGAGGATAAGGTAACGTGGATTCTACATTGTAACGAGTCGATTGCACTGCAAGGATAGAGAATACAATTGGAAATATATGTATCAAATATATATATATATATAAACATTTCAATGCAAACATAAAGTTACGGATGTGATAAGTAGTTTTGCTGAACAAATAAAATGGTCTTGAAAATTTTTTATAAGTGTATGCTGTGTGGAATATTCCATATTCGAAGCGAGAAACTAATTGAAAGTATTTAAATTTAATTCGAAGAGTAGGGTGCAAATATAATAAAACTAGAAACATACATCATTTGCATTAGCGTATATCGTGCTGCCTGGGAATTGATAAGGAAAGATGAATAGTCCAGCAAATATTCCAAAGTAGCGGATTGTACTGATGCAAACGAACAAGCAGTTAACATGTCCTTGAAGAGAGAATCACGTTGTGTTGGATTATGTCCAATCCAGTGAACTATTAATCTGAATTTAAAGTACATAAAAACTCATTAAGGAATAAATTTCTTTCCAAAATCGACAAATTTGATTCAGGAATTAACATTAAAGACTTGAATACATGCATTCGCTAATGATTCTCGAAAATGAAATAATTTACTTCAAGTGGACATCCGGGGAGATAGAACTGGCATATTTTGGCTCAGAAAGCAATGCATTTAACTGAGCCAATGAGAATTCGACAATATCTGTGCTCTCCAGCAAACATCTGTTGATGTTAACGTCGAAGAAATCGCATGCACTCTTTAGCAGAGCCGGTAAATTATATTTCAGTGCAAGTTCTTTCACTGACAAACAATTGGCTGAATCCATGTAACGATCCAAATACTCTGCACAATAATTTTTTACTCGTGTTATCTGAAACCAAAAAAGAATAAGAAGGATTTCAAATTTTTTATAATTCGTTGGCTGGAAGCATAATGTATTCCAGAAATGCAAAAATAAAGCACTATAACAAATGTAGTGCTTCCTTCTGAAGTCAAAAATAAACCAGAAAATTATTGGCGAGCTTCAGCAAATCCGTTACACTGCTACGATCGATAACAACACTTCCACTATACATGTAATTGAGCAATAGTTCAAAAACTGCAGGATTTTGACAATTCACAATCACCTGAAATTAAATTATATAACAATAAACAATTTGAACATAAAATTATAAAAATAAGTTGTTAAAGTAAAGCTTCAATAGTAGCAACAATCCATTTTAAAAAAGTGGTAATTTTCTACTTCTATTAACTATCAATTGATTAAAAAATAAAAAGTCTTCTTTATACAGTCATCTATTGCTTGATCGTTACAGTAATTCCAATTTTCCTTCATATGTAAAGTGATGAAGAAATTGTAGTAAAATATTGTTCGGTGTGAGAAGTATGACTGTTCGAATTGATTCAAACCTGTTCTTTAACAACTTTTGAATTCCTCAGAATTGAGTCAAAATATGGACTGCACGCCGCAAGGATATTTCGATGTGCGCAAAAGTGACGATCCTTCACAACAATGTATACATCACAGAAACGTCCCGTATCACGTTGATAACGCAAGCGTTCCAATATAACATTCCCATGCTGATCCGTAAATGACATCGGATTCAAGTTTCCATTCCCGTCCTGTGCACAAGTTGACAGCGTTGTCATTGCTCTAAAGCATACTTTTTTTAATTAGTTTCGTTATGGGCAATACACACTCACATTGTACACCACCAGCAAAGGAAATCAAACTCACCTCTTTTGACCCCAAAACCGAAACTCTATCTGCTCATAAAACTATATCTAATCCTGCAATGCTAATGTCGTCAGAAATAGATTCTCAGTTTAACTATAAATTAATAAAATCAAACAAACGTGACCTTCTCGTATATTCATCAACACCAGAATACCAGAATCACTTAACTATGGAGATAAATGGGATAGCACAAACGACCAGATAAACACTTAACCACCGCTCTCAATAATTTTAACTCAATTACTTCACTTAAGAAAATAAAAAAAAACTAGGATGAAAACTTGCATGTAGTTTCAATATCTGTTATGCAAACGAGTTATTTCTCCTGTTACTTTAAACATGAAGAAATCTCAGTCACTCGTACCACTACCCATCATGTCTATCTAACCATTTCCTCAATCTCTTAACTTTTTTCTTAATCATCTCCTGTTCGACTACGATAATTCTGGTACAGTATGGCCATTCAATAAATTTCCCAATGCCTAAAGATGTATTATTTCGTTAATCTTTTAATATTACTCGTTTATTGGCCTCTTCCCTTTAATTAAATGCATTAGTTTGCTTCCCCCAACCTCTAACTCAAGCGCTTTAAAAGTACGTCTCTAACTCCAACGTGAGCATTTCTTTTTTCAACGTCAACTCTGCAAAAATACATTGTAGCATCCCAACGTGCGCAACGAAACTGTGAAACGGTGGTGAATAATTTGCGATTACGTTGGTAAACTGAGGTTTAGTAATTTATTTGTGAAAAAAGAAAGCGTGATATCACGATTCGTAAAAAAAACTGATATTGCGTAAAAGGTGATTCCAGTTTGAGAATACAGTTTATCGCGATAATAATGGCATTAACTGTTGCAAGATATTTGATTACAGTTCCTTCCAGGTTTACCGATGTTATCATTATTACATAAGACTGCTTGACTCTAACAGCGATATCGATATGAAGGTATTTCTTTTACATTCGTTGTGGTTCTGATGGTAATAGTAATCTGACAATAATCGTGAAATGATTGAACTATATCGGTGTTTTGGTTATTAATCTTAAAGTTATCAGGTCCGAGTTAATGAATGTAATAAGGATTGATCAGGGAGAATGAGCATTCCACAAATTGCTATCTGATTAATTAGTTCTTTAAAACTTCAGTAATTGCGAGGTATGTTAGGACTCGTAAAAAAAAAGAAAAAAAAACTTCTTTGCTAAATAATATTTATTATTTTCCTTTACTTCCCATAATGCTATTAAACTACACTTTTTCTTCTAAATTGTAGGGAATTGAGGATGGTATATAAAAAATCTTGTTACAGTGTAACTTAAATGATTGAACTATCCTCACCAAGCTTTTCAATGTGATTTTGAAGCCTTACAGCAATTTTGAGCTCATTTCCACAGGAAGCAGTAGCTTTGGTAACCGGTGCTGCGTCAGGTTTGGGTAAAGCGACTGTCCAGCATTTACTCAAGCATGGTTTCAAAGTTGCCATGTTGGATCTACCATCGTCAAATGGTGCTTACCTCTCGAAATTGATAAATGGGAATTGTTTATACATACCAGCCAATGTAATATTCATTTTTAACCGGAAAAGTTTTTAAGTTTTAAATGTCATCTTTTGAATGGATGAATTTTTTTGTTCAGTATATATTCAAGTACTCTTTCTCTCTCCTCCATATATGTGGGCATCAATCTTCAGCAGATTTTCCAGTTGTAATCACAATTTTCAGATAACGGTTGATGAGGAAGTAAAAAATGGTATATCGAAAATAAAGGATAAATTTGGACATTTGAACGCTGTGATCAATTGTGCTGGGATCTCTTTCAATTGTAAAACGTTCAGCTTCAATAAAGAAAATATGAATCACAAATCATCAGTAAAGTTGGATTTGAAGAAAGTGTTAGCCGTAAGATTTTCTGGATTATTGAATCTTAAATACTAGTCATGAAATTTATTGCTGTAATGTTGCACCGCATAAGTTCTGCGGTTAGTGTATATATATATATATATATATATATATATACGTTCCTAATGTTTATATTTCACTACTTTTACTGTTAAGGTGAACGTTGTCGGTACGCTCAATGTTATTCGACACGCACTCGATTTAGTGACACAAAATGAAAAAGATGAATCAGAATGTCGAGGCGTTGTCATCAATACTTCATCGTTCTCATCGTTTGAACCACAGTTTGGGCAAGCAAGTTTTTAAATTTATGAGATGCCGATTAGTTTTTATTTTGGAGATCATTTTTGATTAGTATTAATTTCATAGAGTTAAGTTCTGCTTACTGTTATTACACATATTTGTTAATGTACAGATCATCCTGTCACCGAAATAATGATGTTCAGGGATTTGATGCGATGTCTTCTGGAGCTGTAAATAGTGCTACAATATCATTAGCAAAAGACTATGCTTCCGATGGTATTCGATTTGTGACTATTGCCCCAGGCATCTTCCGGACGCCTTTGGTGATCTCCCATATGAATGAACTGGTAATTCACAGATTTTCATTCATTTTTTGTTATAATACAAATAGAATGTCAAAAAATCAATCGTTAGTTTTACAGAATGTAGAAATATATGAAAAAATGGTACAACTTCCTGCACGATTAGGCATACCAGAAGAATTTGCCGCTCTTGTCTTGCACATTATTCATAATACTTACTTAAATGGCGTGATTATTCGTCTAGATGGTGCTCTTAGGATGCCGCCTTGAACTGTTGTTGATTAAATAAATCTCAAAATGAATGTAACAGTTCCTTATTCATTCTCAGGCCTTAATATATGTGCGAATGTTGCTATATGTGTGTTGTTAATGGAAACTACTGCCATTCGTTTTACTTAATCGATAAAACCGATGATTCAGAGTGTTGATTTACTTATGCATTGTTTGTCGAGCAAGGTTTTACTGTATTTACAGTGACTTTAAAAATTTGTCAAAATTTGAAAACTGGAAAAACTTTTTGTGGAGATTACATCATGACTGATTAGTAATTAGCCAAACAATAAAATAATAGAATAAAACAATAACACGAAACAATGAAATTAATACTTCTTTTGTATAATGGAATCTGGTCGACGAGAATGCTTGTTCCGTCCTCTCCATGTTCAAGCAATTATAGTAGGGAGAGTGGGATATGGACGGGCCGCGTGTTTTATCGTAAAATTTCGTTCGGCTGTGTATCAGAAAGGCCTGGTCCAGTCAGTTGGACTTTCACGCATTTGCATTATTTCGGTTTGTTGGATGCTGGCTAAATTTATTTTGGAAACTGGCAGAGGAGGGCATAGAAATCACTCTAGGAGGTTATTTAGCAAAACTTAGTGGGTTTGTTTTTTGGGTTCTGTCTGTTTCTTTCCGCAGTAATATTTGCTTTGGTTTGCATAAGTTGTAGAGTATTATTTGTTCACGTTTTAAAGCTTAGCTTTCGGATGTTGTCTGAGGCTTTTTTCTTTTAGTTTCTCATATGGCGGTAGAATTTTTTTCATGCTGTTATGAAATAAGCTTAACCTCAGTGGACAGAGCTGCAAGTAAAATAATGGAAATTGGTAACATTATGAGAAATGCATGAATTTGTCAGTTCTTACCAGATTCTTCATTACAAACATGAATTTTTTGCAGGTGTGATATAAACCATGGCCACATACTTGGCTTCTGTGAAGGTATGGCTTTGAGAAATTTTATATGTATTATTTTTTGAAATACTTCAATTTGTCCAGGTAACATAATGTTCATTGCCTTTCTAGGGGATTGTAGCATTAGTTACCGGTGCTGCATCCGGCCTTGGAGCTGGCACAGCTCGACATCTTCTCGAACATGGAGCCAAAGTAGTCATTATGGATTTGCCGCAATCGAAGGGTGAAACAATGGCGAAGGAGATGGGACAGAATTGCTTATTTACTGCTGCTGATGTGAAAATTTTAACTTTCAATTTTTAATTTATTCTGTGGCGAAGTTGCTGAAACAAAGAAATATTGGTAGTTTATATACGCTAAAATTAAACGTGTAGGGTTTGACCACAGTAAAGATGAATGGGACATGCTTCTCCTTGGTATTGAATTATGTTATATGTTCGATTTCCAGGTGCGGTCTTCAGATGATGTGTCAAGTGCATTTCATACTCTGATTAATAAATTTGGACATTTGGACGCTGTTGTGAATTGTGCTGGCGTGTCATATCCATTCAAGCTGTACAATTTGCAAAAGAAGAAAGCTTGTGACAAAGAACTCATTCGTAAAACATTTGATGTAATAACTTTCCTTACTTAATGTTTAGTCGCTTATCAAATTACAAATGATGTTTTCGATCTCTTTTTCTGGTGATGGATATAAAAGTGTAGTGGATGAAGTTTGGTGTTTGCTACATTATTCTAGTTTTAGGTTAATGTTTTCGGTACTTTCAATGTTATACAGCAGGCTCTTGAAGCATTTGCGCTTAAGAGCAGGGACAATTTAGGTTTTCGTGGTGTCATCATCAATACAGCATCTATAGCAGCTTACGATGGACAAGTAGGACAGGTGCATCATTTTTAAAATTTCGTTATATTTTCAAGGGATTCTGTGGAAATAGGTGATGAAATATTTAGCAATCTCGATAATTCAGAAACATTTAATGCCAAAAGTGATGTTATTTCCTCTCAGAGTGTTTATGCAGCTTCCAAAGGAGCCATCGTAAGTGCAACGCTTGCATTTGCTCGTGATTATGCAGAGGATGGAATACGATTCATGACAATTGCACCGGGTCTTTTTGATACTTCATTGATGAGTGGACTTCCCGAAAAGGTAACAAACAGTATTACTTTCTGGCGAAAATTAATAGAACTTATGTATGTACTGCTTTACAATTATTATTATTACGTTTCAGGTACGAACTTTTCTAGCCGACATGATTCCTCTTCCGAATAGATTGGGTAGTCCAGAAGAATTTGGTGCCTTGGTGCGTCATATTATCGAAAATCGGTATTTGAATGGGGAAGTAATACGCCTTGACGGTGGTTTGCGGATGCCTCCCTAAGCCGTGGGTATAACATGATTGACGCGAAACTCATTCTTTTGTAAAAGAAAAATATGATTGGAATAATCAGAAATAGTAAAGAAAGGTCAAGAGCTTTAAGAAATGCTTGAAAGTGCAAATTTTATCAAAGTGGTCCGTATGTCATATATCCATCTACTTTTTCACCAATTCGTAATCATTTTGTTTCACGTAAATGTCTTGCTCAATAGTTGTTATATATATATTTATATGTTGTTAATTTGTTACATTGAATAAAGCTCGAAAGTTCGCATTATTTCCATTTAGTTATACTAAAGTTATGCTTTTCTCCAAACAAATACTTTTACTTTCAATATTTAATTATTAATGCATTTAATATTAGTTACCCAGGGTAGTTAGGCCGGTAAGCTTATTGTTGGTCTTCATGTGCATGGTGTTATCTACTAGATTTTAAAATGGGCGACGTGATTGCTACTGGTGAAAACTGATTTAGTCAAAATGCATTGGTGATTGCTTGCAGTTGTAGTAGTTAAGAAACTTTATATGAGTATCGGCAAGAAGTCGTCCTAAGCAGTACAGATATTTGCAATTTCCGCTTTTTAATGTGACATACCTCACTAATATATATATTTTTTTCTACAGGTTGATCAGAACTTAGGATGTCGAGCTTTTCAAACTGGAAGTCCACCCGTCGTTACGGCGACTCGTCAAAAAAAGATAAGGCAGCTGCACTTTTCGATTCTGTATTTGCTAATCAATCCAAAGCATCTACTTCATTGGGAAGGCCTCTAGATTTAGATCCGTAAATTTTTACATATCCGTTGGTTTTATTGATTGTTTTATTACATTTGATAATGAGCTTCTGTAAAAGGTTTGAAACTTGGCGATTCCCTACTTCTCAGTTTTGGTGGGACTGGTCAATGGAATTTCTGGCCATATAAGTTGCAATAAATAAAGTACCTTTAATTTAAACAAAATAGAATTTCCAAGCTGTTTTATCTAGTTCATCGAAACCTGCATCTCCGAAGAGGGATCAAACTCATAGTGAAATAAGTACACCAAGTCCATCAAGCAGCTCGTTTCTTTCTCCGACGGTCAGTATTCCAGACTTCGAGAAGGTTTGTTTCTGAAATGTTATTCGCCTTTGGTTTCCAATTATCCTATTTATAACATCACAGTTATTGTCTTTTTTTTTCGCAGGAGTAGAAGCCTTCCAAATAGCGAATGGAATTTTTAAGTAAAAAAGCATATACTCAAGCATACGAAAAAGATAGTTTTTTTTTTTTCTATGTTCAAAATTAATTATCCGATTCAGGTATGCTGTGGGACAAGTTCCTTATAAAGTGAACAGTTATGCCTTGATATTCACTTTTAGAATAAACACGTGCATTCTGTGAAAGAGTTTAGCTGAAATGTATTTTTCGAATTTCAAATTCAGTTTTCTAATCATTTCATTATTGTCTTACTTTAACAGCAGGCTGAATATACTTACTTTTGCAGTCTGATGAAAGTGGCGAAGAAGAGGGCAGTGGCAGAAAGTTTGAAAGTAATTATTCATCCACATGCGCACTAAATATCTCTATGACGCATGCTAGAATTTCTGATGGTAAATCCTCCAGTTCATCACCTACCAAACAGTCTTCTGACTCAGATGCAGATCATCAGAAAACTGGGGTTCCGAAACAGCATTTTACTGAATCTAATCCGCAGCGTAGTGATGTTTTTTGCTTTGAAATAGAAGATGAAGAAGATGAAGACAATGAAGGTAGCAATGAGATAGCCCCTCAAGCAAAACGTGCAAAACCGGAAGAAAAATGTACTATTTCTCAAGGTACGACGTTGTTATGGATATGTTTGAAATTTTCATTGTTGAAGTAGTTCGTAATACACTTATGTGTGAATTTTTCAGAATAAAGTGACTTATTTTATATCGAGCTTATTTTGTAGCCACGATAAGTCACAGTGTTTAACGGAGTTGCACATGTAGTATTTTTTATGCATTAAATTTTTTAAATGTGCAAACCATATTACAAATATTTCAGAAAAAGTGGGAAGTTCTGGAAAAGAATATGCGCTGGGAATTAAAGCTACGTATAAGCACAGGTGGATGCTGGATGACGATGATGATAATGACGATGTTGGGTTACTTTCGAAACACTCAAATGCGGGTTTAATAACTGCTAAAGCAAAAGTACTGCTTTCCTAATTTGGTTGTTATGCCTAGAGAAGTTGTTGTTATTAAGCCTCTTTTTTTTGAAAACTTATTTATAAGAACAATTTATTGTAACCAACTGACTTATTGTTTGTTGCCTAAGCTTAATGTTTAAATTAATGAATTATCAGGACGATAGTACGGCTACTCCAGCAAATGTAAGTACCGTTGGTTCGTCAGGTATAATAGATCGTAGTAGGAAAGGCGATCGAGCACATGTTTGGATCCGAGATGTAAAGGAGGCACATGAATGCTTGAAGTCTGGTGAACAGGATGATTTCAGTGACGATGTGAAATATATTTTGAGTACTCTTCTGGATTCAGCGTCGTCGAACAATCTGAAATGTTTAAGGTAATAGAATTCTGCATATTCCTTTGCATCTTCTAAGATTAATGCCTTCTCCATACTTCGACACTGATTATTGTTTGTGGATGTTTTGTGTCGTAACAGTCTAAAATAGTTCACTCAATTAGGTCATTTCTATTCTTTTTTTTTTAATAATTTAGCATCATATCACTGGCCAAGAAATGTGTTTCGAGCGAATTCCGGCGATTTTTCCGATCTAACAATTTGATCAGTCGGACACTGAAGGCAATTCCTGACTCACCAAAGTCACCGGTAATTTAGTCATCCATTCTCATTTTTTAAATTTATCATTTTATACATAATGATTTAGAAGAAAAATTGTTTTAATTGAACATGTAATGGTGATACTACATGTAGATATTATTATTCGACTGAATTCTTATTACATTTCAGAGTTTGGCGCTTTGTATCTCAGTGGTTGTTTATTTGTTATCTCGCGATACCACTTCTGTATTTGTTGATGCACCTGCGCTTCGTTTGTTCAGTCAGCTGTTAAAATTGGAGAATCCAAATCTGAGTAAAGAATGCATGAAATATTCGAAAATGGTGGGTACTCGACTACATATAACATAGTTTTTGCATTAGAGAGGTACATAGTTACTGTTGGGAAAGATTTATATTCCTAACTCCACAACATCGGTAATAGCTTTATTAGCCTTGTTTGATGTTGTAAAATATCGCGCTT